GTAAAGAGTCTAAAGACAATTTTTTTTTTTTTGGAGCTGGTGAACTAATTGGAAATTGGGCATGTGAGAGTGAGGTTGGTTCTAGAAAAGTCTACCAAGAAAAATGGTTGATGGTATTTATTTGGGCCATCTTTTTTTGAGATAGAAATGGAAAATAGGTGGCAGCTCCCACCAACCACAAAAAAGAAAGTGATAGTGTTCAATTGGGATATTTTTCTAAATAATTGAGAAAATGTTAATTCTTTGAATCATTGAATGTATACATTTATATTTAAGTTAGCTTGTTTAGTTAGATATAAATTTATCCTATATTTAAAATAAAGGAGTTTTTTCAATACAAGACCGAAAGATAGGTAAACTATCAATTCGGGGCTTGAAAGATTTTTTTTTCTCAATTCGGGACCTGAATGCTATAAAACTATCAAATTAATTCCTACAATTAACAACACTCATAAAACAATTAAATTGAGAGTTAATTTTAAGTTTTAAAACACCAAATATGCTTTTTTTAATATTATGCAAATGTTTACTTATTATTTTATGTGAGTAAACAACAATCTTTTATTTTTCTTCAAATTTAGTGTTTTAAAACTTAAAATTAACTCTCAATTTAATGGTTTTATGAGTGTTTGTTAATTGTATGACTTAATTTGATAGTTTTATAACATTCAGGTCCCGCATTGAGAAAAAAAAACTTTCAGGCCCCGAATTGATAATTTACCTATCTTTCAGGTCTTGTAATGAAAAAACTCCTAAAATAAATTGTTTGGTATGATAATTTTTTTTTCTTTTTTTTTTCCTTTTTTTTTTAAATGTTCGAGCTTAGTTCTTAATGCAGTCATCAGATTATTTTCTTTTGTTAGTTAATCTTGACTTACCAGGCAGACAATTAAGTAATAGGACTACAAAGTACAAACTCCCAAAATGGAACAATTGGGCCTGTAAGACTTAACCAGGGAAACCAACCGAACCATAACAGGCCTGCTCATCATATCAATAGGCCTAGTTACATATTCGGCAGTGGAATTTAAGCCCAGTCTGGCCAGCTCCAAGGCCCATAATAATTTAAAAAATATACATGTAGTTAACTAGAAAATTGAGTTTAGCATTAGAATATTTGAATTTTAAAGAGTTTTAAATATATTCCCCTATACATAAGTAACCTAAATAGTCCACATATGGTCTTGGAGTGTGAATAAGCTCATTTGAGTCTATTAAATAATTAATGTTCTTGAAGTGTGAATATTCACAAGCTCATTTGAGCGTGTTGGAACGTGATTGGATATGGATTAAATCGGTTCTGATCCAACTTGACGGATTAAAGCGATTATTTAGAATAAAGTAAATTTGAAATATAATATTAAAGTTGATATGATGTAAGAGACACGGCGACAATTATTAAAGTCATTACTATTTATTTCTCTCCCTCCATATATCAATAAAATATAATAAAATCACGGCGACAATTAATTGCAAAAATTAAATATCACCTACAACGACATGTACTTTAAAATGGAGGGAGTAACATTTTACTACACGTACGTGCAAACACGCACGCGACACTACTAACAATGAAAATGACAATAATACCCTCAATGATGCACGACCTCCGCATTGTACTCGAGCACTGCATCACCGCTAATCGTATCGAGCGAGTGCGTTTTCACGAGCACAAAACCCTTCGCGAATCGGAACTGACCCCTCCCCCCGACCACCGCCAGCTCACGGTTTGTCTCGGTTATCGGATTCCGGGAGAAAACGCACTTGCCGGTCGTGAACCCTAAGTCGACGTACAATACAAGTGTCAGCTTCTCGTCTTGGCTCGA